ATTTGTGGTTGCTGTAGTCATTGGATTTTGTAGTCACTGTTCAAGGTCGTTTCTGATCTCATGAATCATGAGTCTAGTCCAGATTCCAGATTATCAGCCAAGCGCTGGAAATGTGATCTATCGCGCCAACCCTCTAGCGTTATTTGGAGCCCTTTGAATCCGAAGGATCATCTTTTAGCAGCTTTGAAATCATCATTTCAGCCTCAGACTCCCAGGAATGTAGAGCATGGTTGGCTGAGGATCCCAGAGTTTGCCATTCTATGTAGAGGGAGGGGGTTGCCTTCTAATTAGATTTTTGCACGGGCGCAGTTTTCTTCATGAGTCAATCAAATGGCTTTGCAGCAACACATCGAAGTTCCCTTTCATGGACGTCAGTGGGAAATGGTTAGGCAGGGGTACCTAGCCTGAAACAAGCGATTTCATAGGAAAACCTGTTTATGAACTGGAGGTTCGCGCTGTCGTAAATATTTGAGGGCCATGTTTGCGGGAAGTCAGGCTGAGCTTTGGCCGGTGAGATCGTTCTTAAGCTGCCTAGCAGCCACAGTCAGCAATGCCACAAATCCATGACCATAGGAAACCTGCTGATAACCCAGCTCAGCGCTCTTACCAATTTCCAGACTCCAGACTTGGAATACTACACTTTCGTCCCCAACTGTTCAGGGAAACCAGCTGCCTTACTCATATGCATCTTTTAATCGAGGCCTTGATGTCGAACCAGGGCTCAGCGGAGTCGAAGGGCAACGCGATGGCCATGATCCTGCTGTTCAAGACTGCGTTTGGAAATGATGCGGACCTGAAGGTGCTCAGGAGCGTAGCAACGGTGCAATGCCAAGGCTTGTCAGTGTGCGCCACAGCGAACAATTCTATGCGGAAGCTCATTGAGTTGGGTGCAGATGCTCAAGCCCGTCTGCAAGCTGATCCAAATCTAAGTCAGATGCTGTTGATTCAACAGAACCGGGGCAAGCGGGCGACCTACCAGAAGGACTTGCAGGGCGTTCAAAAGCAAGTGACGGATGCCTGGGAAGACATTGCTCGCTTGTTCGGGCAGAAGGAGGATCGACTTGTGACACTGCAAACCTTTGTTGAGCTTGACCTAGCCACAGAGTTTCAAGGGCATCGCTGCGAAGGCTTGAACAATGACGAGGTCTTCCAAGATTGTGTCAGGTTGCACTCTGCCAAGCTGAGCCAGGGCCTGGGTGAAGCTTTGAGTGACGCTGTGTCAGCGTGCCAAGGTTGGCAGGGGAATGGTCAGAAGTTTTGGCGAGCTGACGTGAGTCCATCCACTTCAGTTGGCGAGTTGCTGGGCTTGGCCGAGAAATCCATCTTCGAGCTCAGCGTCAAAGACTTGAAGAAGAGCACTGACGATTTCATCAAAGCTCCATGCTTGCAAACTTGTGTCGGTCATGTTCATGCTTGTTTGTCAGTGGTCCTCTTTTAGCCCAGTAGCCGCCAGCTGCCAGCTGCAAACACGACAGAAGTTTAGCTTAGCTCGGTGACCCAAAATTCTGTGCCATATATGCATTGCAAGCGCACCCAGGCTCCTCCTAACTGTTCTCGGAGTCAATGCAAGGTGCGGAAACTTATGCTGGGGCTGTTAGTGTGTCAGAGCTGCTAGGCCAACCAGGCTGCTCGGACTGCTTTAAGTAGGAGAGTGGTGGTTTTTCAAAAGAGACGCCCTCGGTGTAACGTGGAAGACTCAAAGTAGTGGATGCTTCTCTCATGGCCTTATGGACCCCGCAAAAGGTGACCTCGCAGGTGAGAAACCCATATCCATATTCTCATTGTTGACGCAAAATCCTTGCGCGTCCGTTGCCTGATGCTGTGCACCTTGCCCTCGGGCCTGAGCCTCCGCCTTTGTGGTGGCTGAGATTTAGACTCTGGACTCTAGTCACTCTAGTCAAGTCATAATGTTCTGCCATAGTGTAATGGCGCTGACAGATTTTTTGGTGGGTGCGCAGCTCAACCTCAACAGCTTTCAGGCCTCCGTAGTATCAGTACCTGGACCTAAACCAAACAGTACCCTCCTTCAAGCCTGGCCTTAACCGCCCTAACTCTGAACTCAAGCCTCCCTCAAAACAGCAACTAACCCTGAACTGAAGCCTCCTTCGCCCAGGTGCTTGAAAGTGCCTACAGCTTCATGGAGAAGTTCGATGCCACGGACGAGCTCAAGTCTGTGGCAGCGGAGGCTGTCACAGGTGCGCGCGAGGCGAAGATCCTCTTCATGGAGTGGGTCTTGCTCAAGCAGCTTAGCACCTTGGCTTCGGACCCTTCAGAGAAGGCAGCTGATGACATGAAGGCCTTGGTGACAAAGCAGCAGATGTTCTGCACGAGCAATCGCTTGAACATCACTTCTGCAGACTTGCACGCTGGCTTGTGGACCGAGGCTCAGGCAAAGTCTGGCCTTGCGAGTGTTGCGAGCTAGGCACTCCCAGCACGGCGCAATTCGGTGCATGGATGATTTTTTCGGGGCACCCCAAGCCTGGGACCGAGGGCCTTGAGAACCTTTGTTTGTGTGCACTGGCCAAATTGCGCTCCGCGTAGTGAAGTTCAATGCCTTCCCGTGAGTGTTCATGAAAACCTAGGCCTAGGCTGTGGGAAGGCCTAAGCTAGCAAGGTTGCTTTCTGCTCCGGCCGGAGGGCCTTGGCTCCGTCCTGACGATGGTGAGATCTTGTGTAGTGTATGTCTAAACCGTTAACACTAAATCAACCACGTCTTAAGTCTATGCTTCACAAGATCCCTCTGTATCCATGTGGATGCGCGCGCCTTTTGAGTTTTGGAACCCCCCTGTAACGATAGCTGAGCCTGTTCGTGTGCTTGACCAGCTTTCCCAGGGCACGCTCTGACAGATAACCTGTCATTGCGAATGAAATCTCCAGAAGCCAAACTGTGTACTATGCCAGTGTTGTCTGTTTCACGGGACTCAATAGCTTGCAAACCAGGCTTGAGGAACATTTCAGGCTCATTAGTCACATTAGCGGTTAGCGGTGCCCAAAAGCATCTAGATGTCTATATGGGGTAGATTTGGCAATCCGAGACAAGCTAATATCATGTTGTTGGCGTCCAATCATTGTTCCTCAATATGAGGTTCGTAAACTTCTGCAAGTTGTGGTGTGCCTCAGGCCCGAAGAACATGGCAGTCGCTCTCGTCTCTAAGACTCTAGGAAGTAGTCACTAAGTAGGGACGTGTGCAGCGCACGTGTGTGCTTAACTGAGCTTGTTGTGACAGAGTGATGGCTATGTCCTCAAGAGTGGCCATGGGTGATGGCACCTACGACCTCGTCATACATTGGCCTACATGTCTGTGCTCACGACCTCGGTGTGAAAAGTAAAGAGTTGTGTCACGTAGCCGCTGGATTGTGCCTATCAGCTGGGATGCCCATGTTCATACAGATACGGTGCATTTTCTGAATTTTATTGATTCTTTTTGAGATATATGAACCCGGCGCCGCCAAACAATCTTCACCAGCTTCACTTTCTTGGCATTCACTTGTGCCGTGCAAAGATTTGTGTTTCCATATTGAGTGATGAGTGCAGGTGTAGTTGACTTGAGGCATTGTTGAGTTTGGCCGCATAGTGTTCGATAAGCACGATGGGTGCCATTCCCAAAATCCAAGACCGCAAGACCAAACTCGGCGCTCACGGCTCAAACGCATGCGAAAGTTTGAAATTTGGTGCCAGCCACTGTGAATGTGGCAGTTCAGCTGATTGCATGAATACCCCTACATTGGAATCAAGTCGATTGAAAATAGATATGTTCTTAAAAGTTGGGGGAGGTGTTTGAATGGAGGTGATAGTTAAGGAATTGTGTACCTGCGAATAGTTGAACGATGCCAGCAAAAACAATACAAAATAGAAACATGTCGAAATATTCGAGTTCTGGTCAGTTCGCAAATGCTTGCGTGTTTCTGGGAAATATAAATGTTTGAAATGTTTTAATATCTCACATGAAACCATCAGGAATTTCTTCAAACCCTTTGCAATTCTACCCTGAAATACCTCTTTTTGAAGGCCTGAGAAGCTACTAAACTGAGGCTATTGAAGCATTGGGAATACATGCATATGCCAATTTTACAATAGTATTGCAAAAAACAAGCGAAATTATTGCAAAAATATTGTGAATTTGTTGCGAAGTCAAGAAATTGCGAACTGACAGCATTTTCTGTGCATAATTTTTGCAAAAAATCTGCAATATTTCTGCAACAGTGCGTTGCAATATTTTTGCAAAATTTGTGCGAAATAATTTATTTGGGAAGATATAGTCTGTGGCTGCCAAAGATTCACATAACCCTAAGTGATGGGCTTCCAGATGTGCCCTGTTGCTTCCGCTGTTAGCAAATAACAGGGAGAGTGGTGCCTGACAACAGTCCCATGTACTGCATCAGGCAGCAACTGCACATTGGGCTTGCATGCAGAAAGCCGAGCAACACTATGCTACACAGTCACCCTGCCTAGGATATTATGCGGAGGCTCCTCAAAAGCACTAATCACTATTTACAATGCTGCTTCAAGCTTTCAAGGGTTCGTTTCCTGGCGTCCCGTGGCAAGCCTGGCGAGCTGTTTAAGGCGCCGGTGGCTTGCAAGACATTGGTGGCCACACATGCTTGACAACTTGCTTCATCGGTTTTTAGTTGATGACACATCAGAATGGCGCAACCATACCTAGCACCTTCCGTGCAGGAAGGAACCACCCTGGCACGTAGCCCAGTATACACTTGCTTGCCTGGTTTAGCATGGATGCTCTGCAACATGTGTACGCTGGAAGCCTGGACGGAGCCAACTACCTTTGGCTGGAAATGACTGGATGCATTGACAGCGGACATACTTGCTAAGTATCTACTTTATCTGCTGCGCGTTGAAGGGTGAGCCGGAGACTCAGAAATCAAACTAACCATCATGTGGGGATGTCTCCTGAACGTATTGTATTCTGGGACACGCATTCAGAATCCGTCGTGCTTTTATCCCGCCTCCGAGAAGGAACCGAAACCCGCAGTCAAGCTGCCAAGCTCAGCAGAGCCTCCCAATTCAGGGGCCGCCGGGGAACTGCTGGCACCTGCCCCCGCAAAGCCATTTTGGAGCCCACCTGGGGCTGTGACTACGAATCCTAGCTTTCCACAGCGGGCAGACAAACACCACGGAAAAGGAATGCTATGGTGTCACCTTGACAAACTCCATCAGACTACCATCTCCTCCCACTGTTGGCCGCCCCATTCCTATCTAAAACAAAATCTGTTTGAGGGCCTCAGAGCCGTTAACGTTGCCTGTGATGTTTGATTTTGGAGCCAGCAGTGCAGCGCAAGGTCTTGCAGCAGGGCAAGGGAAGTACTGGAGAGGCTTGTCTGGGTTCAACTAAGGTGCTTAATTTGCCCCAGGAGTTCAGGCTGGATACGCCCAGAATAGCTTCCAGAGACTCATCCTTCACACATTAGTTGCCAGAAGTTGGCAACTGGGGTAGAACAGGAAGATCAAAACCTCGGCCTTCAGCACCGGTGAAGCCCCGAACAACCCCGACCCGGGCTGTCCTGCGTGTCTCGAGGGTCGACCAGCGTTGGCTGATCCTTGAAAATTGTGAAATGCCCACTGGGCAGATTTGCAACAGCAGCTTTTCTGAGACCTCTAGAAAATATTTTGCCAGGACTTCGCGATGATTTGCACGAAGGCTCGATTGATGAGTGAGTAAGTGAGTGAGTCAATAAGCGGCAACTGTGGGAACAGTGCCATGCCTAAGGCGCTATCCCTCTTGGCTTCGCAAGGGGCTCCGAAACCGTATCGCCCTTCCACTTGGAGTTCCGACTGGCAGGGTGCCCCAGGCTTCGTAAACGTCATTGCCTGCCAGGGGGAGGTGAGGGGACACGGCAGGACGAAGACAAAGAGGCCTGAAGACGAGATTGCCAAAAGCACCAGCAGCGCAGCACCCAGCCGCACGTGCGACGCAAGGCCAGCAGGGCAACCAAGTAGCAAGCAGCAAATAGCCAAAAGCACCAGCGGCACCATGCCCAGCAGGGCACCCAACTGGCAAACAGCAAGTAGAACGCAGCAACAGAATCGCAGGACCAGCAGGGCACCCAAGTAGCAAGCAGCACCAGTGGCGCCAGGCCCAACAGACCAACCAAGTAGCAAGTAGCAACAGAATCGCAACGCCCAGCACCCAATTGCCAGCAGGCCACCCAAGTAGCAAGCAGCGCCAGCGGTGCCAGGCCCAGCAGGGCACCAAAGGGAGGAAAGAGGAGCTTTGGCACATGTGGGTTGGTCCGCCTCCGGAGCCTACCACACGCGGCTCCCGGAGGCTCGATTGATGTTCTTGGCCAAACTAACGCCCTCAACCTCCACATTCAACCAACATTTTCAACTTCTGAGTGCTCGGCAACAGAGCAGCTGTCTAAGGCATTGAGGATTAAGACGGAACTGTGGCTTACTTGCTGTGCTTGCGGAGAGGGATCGTCGCTGGAGCTCGTTGCGGCTGAAGCATCCGAGTCTGCCTGGAGGAACGCGGCATGAACAGTCTAGAACAAGTTGGAACCACCCAAAACTTACACCTGATCCAAACTACAGCTAGCGTTTGCTCACCCTAAAAGCTGTGCATTCTGAGGTCGCCTGCGCCAGTTCTTAGGAGATGTACCGCCCGAATGCCTAAATCTCAACATCCAGGCAGTCCAGAACAAACGAACATCAGCTGTTTGATCTAGGTTGCTTCTCAGATCTGCGTGTGCAGGTAATTTAAACCCTCAGGGTCTCTTTGGAAACCTGGGGCTAGGCAATCATGGTGGGCTCTGGCACGTCAGGTAGCTAGAGGCACTAGAAAGGACCTAAATGAAGGTTCACCGTTCATGTGTTTGTCCTGCGTAAGGCACCAATCCATGACACGGCTGCAGTTGCATGGTCTCCTAGTTCACAAAATGCCCTACTCCAACCCATCCACCTTGTCGGGCAAGAAGTGCCGCAAGGAGTGCGGATCCTGCACAGATGTCTTGGCATCGTGCGTGTGAACCTGGCCACTGGACGGAGCGGCGCTCCCCGCTTCTTGGAAATTCCTGGGGGAGGTTCTACACTTATAAGCTATAAGGTCTGGACAAGGGCCAATGGCACCGAGAGTACCACGGTTTGGATTTGCCAGTCAACTTGAAGGTTTCGGACTGGCGCCAAGCTGTTCCTTGAACCTTCAGTTGTCAACCGTATAGAGCTGGAAGGAGAAAGACAAGACAAACGGATAAACTCCAACAGATAAGATCCTGAGATCCAAAATTCTCATGAAACCCCAACGCAGGACTTCCTGCGCCATGCAAGCCTTCGAAGTTAAGCTGCAATCCCCAAGGCTCTCTCAATAAATTTGAAGCTTCCCCAACTTAGCGGGGATCCGCGAAATGGAGCCGCCACAGCTGGGGCAAATTGGGATTCTATCGGGGCTCAACGGTTTGGGGTCTCGGGGGCATCTAGGCTCCGATGGTCGAGGTAAAATGGAATGGTGAAACGGCGTCATTATCCTCACTCAGCCCAAACTGAGAGCCGGAAAAACCACAAATAAAATGATATTGATGCCTCGCCCCGTGACGCCAACTCCTAAGACAATTTGCAGGAACCACCGCAGGAGCCTGGTAAGGTCAAAAAAGAACTGTTGTGAGATTGTCGTACAGATATGCATTTGCTCTCCCGCGTTTCTTTGATGTCACCTCCCTCGCCTTAAATGCCGATCAGGCCTGCCATCCATGAACTTTAAGCCCCAAATCCACCAAGCCCTTTCCTTGGCAATTGAACGCTTTACTCTAGAAGGCGCAAGCAACAGTTTATTTCTGCATTGACGTTTTCACATGATCCTCAGCTGCACACCTCATGCCCTAAAACGCCATGCCTCCAACGGTCAGGTTCTTCACTCCTGTGTCTCGAGAAACCATGGTGCCCTCAAGGTACCCCAAAAAGCGTGTAGTCCTTGAGCGCACCCTCCAAAAAGGGCCCATGCTTTTCGAGGGCTTGGAGCTTCAAACCTTCAGCCCCGAATCCTACAAAGCCCGAAACATATGCCTAAGCCTGCACCCTAAATCGTACGCGTTACCGGCCAGCTGTTGTGTGGCCTTGCCGGGGCCAGGGTCGAGGAAGCGAAGCCCCCAAGAAGCCCAGTCCTCATTTCGGTGCGAGATAAAAAAGGGGCTGCTCTTCGATGGTTTCTCGAAAACGTATGCAGGTTCCTGTTAAGCATTCTGAGCGGATGTGTCCCCCGCAAAATTCAAAAAAGAGAGGGTCACAAAAAGATAGGCCCGCCTAGAAATTTCCTTTCTGGAACCCCACGTACTACTGATAGCCTACAACACGTGGCATGTTTGCCGCTAAGCTCCCCAAGCGTGTTTCAGGGGATCAGCACAGGGACCTGGAACCGATGTTGTCTCCTTGGCCTAGGGTGACCAAGACAAAGACATTTCGGGGTCCTCATACTCCCTTACAACTCATGCCCATTTTGCTTACCACTCAAAACCTACGCACCCCAAAACCCAAGAAGCTTGAAGCCCCAGGTGCGCCGCTGACGCGGTGCACGTGGAGCTCAGTAGAAGCCAGCGGCGCCGGCACAGCTACAGGCAAGGGGGACGTAGCCTCACAGATGCCCAGAGGCTTGGGACAAGGGCGTGGACGTTGGAGAATTTTTGAGGGGGGAAAGGTAAAGGGTTTAGAATTGAAGGCTTTGGGTGCTGGCCAAAGCTGTGCGCCCAAGCAAGTACCACATCCCCAAACTGACCTGTACGGACTATGGGTTGTCTCCCTAGGGATCGAAAGTACAAATACATACTGAACCCAAACCCGCCAAAAACCCAATATCCCCAAATCCTCAACTCCAGAAGTGTGGGCTCGTCGTCACTACAGACCCCAACTATCTTTTAGCGCACCAAAGGTGGAGAAAGGATAGCCTAGGTTTGCTTGTTGGCGGCAGACATTTGACAAAACCCTTAACGAAGAGGACTGATCGGGCAAAATAGCAGAAGTCCAAGGTACCAAAACTTGTTTATCGCAGGTGAAGAACGGGTAGAATTTTGTTTCTGTTTTTTTTTTTGGGGGGGGGAGGCTGCCTGGAATCGAAGGATGCCTCACACGAAAGCGGGATTCTGAAGCAAAAGCTGTGTGAGAATGATGAAAAGCAATGAAACTGATGAGAGATGATCCAAAAGGATGACAACTGATGAAAAATGATGAAAACTATGTACATGCTGAAAAATCATGAAAATTATGAATACTGATGAGTGAAAGTGATAAAATAAAACTGAGGAAAATGATGAACATTGAAGGAAAAGGATGGAATCTAGTGAACATGATTACAAATTCAAAATGGATGAGCGGCGATGAAAAACAAAACATGATGTTGAACATGATGAAAAATGGGAAAACACAAAACTGATGAGAACGTGAAGCATAGACAGAAGGCGGGGAGGGGGGGGAAGTTTGGGGGGGGGGCACAGCCCCCCCCTTAGTTGCTTAAATCGCCGGGTCGCAACGCTGCGATTCGGGATCCTGAGCCCCGAAACGCTTCTTAATTCCTTTACAAAAGAGCTCCAAATCGCGAATCGCGCGATTTGGGCTGTATAACCCTGAATCGCAATGAATATCATGTCGCATTCTAACTCTCCCCTGAACCCCCTTAAGCCCTAAACCGCAAAGCCATTGAGACGAAGCAGTCGTCATATTAGACGTGCCGCTGGATTCTTTAGGCCATTATGCTTGACAGACTGGCCTTGAAGGACAAGGTTTTGGAGTCAACGGTTTTTGTGGTCAGCACCCAGGGTAGGCGGGGTCCAAATGAGCGGCAATCGAAACTTCCCAAGGGGTTTATATAAAGGATTAATTAGGGGACTACCATAAAACTTGTTTAGGGGGATAGTAGGAGTTTACACGATAGTTCATATGATTTTTGGGAGGCTTGGAAAAATCATCTAAGCCTCTTGGCCCCTGCTGTACTCCCTTCAATACAGGCTCTTGGCGACAGGGTTCCAGGGTAGGCGGGGTCCAAATGAGCGGCCATGGAAA